TTTGCCAGCAAAGACCAAAAATTTTATGAGCGTGGAATTATGCTACTACCAGAAAGATGGCAAAAGGTGTTGGACCAGAACGGTCAATATATAATTTAATAAAGTATTTGTTTATTATACGAAAACTGTCTTTCATTTCCACAAAAAAAAAACGAAATGACTTTCCAAACAACCCTATATATCGTGGTGGCAGGACTATCCTTAGACTGTACAAAATGATAATCAAAAGCAAGAAAGTCGGTCACAGTCTGGCTTTTAACAAGAAAAGGTGAAATCAGTATTCAAGATTACGGCAAAAGAATTTGTAGCCACTACATTCCATTCAAATCCGCAGACTGTTTCTGTTCTTTTACAAAAATGAAGAAACAGATTGAAAATTACGAGAACAAGAGCTGAATTTCCATGAAACTGATTTACTTCCATGACGCGGATGGATTTCGATTACGACAAGAACGAGATTTAATGAATGTCTTTTCAAGGATCGGATAGAATTCCACGTTTTTACAAATACATAGACGAGAACTCACCGAACTGTCGCTAATAAAACTTTAAGACAAAGTAGTACTTATAGTTAGCGCAGTCGAGTGAGATTTGTACATGTTCGTTCTCGGCTCCGTGTGAACGAACATACGACGTCCTAGCCGTAATATGATACTGCGGCAACACGATAGGGGCCACGGCTTGGCCTGCTCTCCTGCGTATATGTAATACAATCGAGCCTAATATAATGGTGTACGCGCTGGGGGACCGAAGGCAATAATTATTATCAATTAAAGACCGCAAAAAAACGGGAGCAGTCAGCGGCCGACGTCGAGCTTTGTTTAATTGCCTCGTTGCACGCTGCCGCTTCGATTCCTATCGTCGCTGTTGACGAATACCGAAAGAATTTAACGTGGACAATATTATCAAACGCTGCCTCCTGCCAGTTGACGGCTCCTTTGCAAGTACACGAGTGCAATATGATGTGTTATGTATTAATTTACACCGTTAAAGAATGCAGTAGCGCTAAAAATCCAATGACATTGAACCTTTCTCACCGCGTTAACAATTACGAGGGAGAAAATGAACAATCTGAGTATTTCTATATGCTTTCCGATAAATTTACAAAAACTGCAAACTCCAGACACTTAATCGTCTCCTCATCATCATCATCACAAGGTCGTCAGTCCTAAGACTGGTTGGACACGTACCTCCACTCTTTCCTATCCTGAGCTAGATCTCGCATTTCCCTAAAACTAGAACAGCCCACATCCTTAACTATTTGAGAAAAGTAATCTAATCTAGGTCTACCTCTACCCCTCCTAACTCCTGTTTCTGCTTCTAATATGTCTCTGACTAGACCTTCATGCCTGAGAAAGTGTCCTACCAACCTATCTCGCCTATTTTTTATTGACTTCCATAGAGTCCTCTGTTCTCCTATTCTTTCCAATACCTCTTCATTTCTAACCTTTTCTACCCACGTTATCCTCATCATCCGCTTCTAATCTTTTCTTTTCCGCCGCGCCCACTGCCCATGTTTCGCACACGTACAACGCCGTGCTCCAAACATACACCTTTAACAACCTTTTTCGAATTTCTAAATTAATCGTTCGCGAGCATAGAAGTGACTTATTTTTATTAAAGGCGACACGACCCTGCACTATCCTCTGCTTTATATCCCTACTACTCCTTCCATGCTGACTTATCTGACTTCCTAGGTATCTAAAATCAGCCACTTCTTCTAATTTTTCGTCTCCTATCTTTATATTCGCTCTTTCCCCACTTTTTCTTCCCTTGCATACCAGTATTTTAGTTTTACTTTTATTTATTTTCATACAGTACTGATCTGTCAGTACCGCTTCCATTTTAATTAAAGCTATCTCTAACTCCTCCTTGCTAGATTCTAATACTGCTATATCATCTGCAAATCTAAGCATACTAATGTTTTGCCCATGTACATCTATCCCTACAGTTGTACTCTCTTTAATGATGTTGATGGCGTCTTCGATGTATAGATTAAAAAGTAGCGGTGACAGTGTGCATCCCTGTCTGACTCCCCTCCTAATATTTACTTCTCTACGTTGCAGCCCCAGCTCTATAACTGCCTGTTGCTCTCCTATATCAAGCAAAATTATGCTAAATTACTTAGCATTTTTCGGGACATAATTAATTAAGCACAAGCACATCGTCAATTTTGCCTAGCTAAAATCTAGACTGGCCTTTTTCTGATGAAGAACTAATTTTTTCCTGACAGTTACAAGGAGTAACTGCACTAATGCAAAAAGAACTTATTACACTTCAGGACCCCAGCCAAGCTGAACCTGCCTCGGAAAATTTTAAGCCTGATTCCTAGACGCTTGCGTAAGCTCTAAGTGTTGACAAGGATTATTATCAGTCCACAGGGACACCTTATTATGTGCCACTAACAACTGTCAAATTGGATCCAATTGAACAACCAATCAAAAATGAGAATATTAACGTAAAAAAGTTCAAACCTATATTTCTATATATACTTGTTGACACATAGTACTGCCTCTGCCTCTGAAAAAAGAAACGCATGACGCAATAAGAAATTGAAAACTTACCGCATCTCTAAGGATTTCCTCTCTAGACATGATGTGAGGTCGGTTTCCCCTTTCCCCATCCAAAGTGATCGAGTAGACGTCAGGGGGTTCGATGGCGTTCAAATGACCTGCATAAAATAGTCCAGCCATTACGGTCAATACGCGTAGTTTGTCAATTTTGAGGTGTTCAGTGGTCAAAATACATCGATTGTCTTGTTTTTTATTTGTCACATCATTTTCAGTAGATTCAGGAATCTTCTGTGCAGATGGTTGATTATTATTAACATTGGGAAGTACTTCAGTCGGTTCAGGTAAATGTTCTTCAATAGTTTGGTCATCAATTTCCATGTCTTCATCGCCTTTCGTTTCGTGGACTTCTTCCATTTCGTTTGGTTCATCTTCATCTTCCCATTCACTATTACCTTCCTCGTCGACTTCTTCCTCTTCTTCGGCGTGTTCTTTGATTGTAGGTTCTGCTTTCAATTTAGGTCTTATTTTACATGATTTTTCAGCTTGATCATCTACACCATTGCACATGATATTGTTATTGGTTCTGTGCTTGTTCAGTTTCTTCTTGTTGTCTTCGACGTATCGAGGTGGACTGTTGCAGTAGAGAAGATCAGATTTATTTTGCATCTGGAATTTTTCCTTTGCGGCTAAAAGGTAACCGACAAAGGTCCCCTTCTTTGGTTTTTTGGCCACAATTGTTTCTGTTGCTATTCGAAGACCGGATGACGACATAAGCTTCTTCGGTCTCCCGACCTTTCTCTTCTTCGAAGACGATATTTTTTCTGGAGTACTGTCGCTCAAATCAGGAGAGTATGTTCTCTTACTGGATTCAAATCTGTAACTGAATGGCAAAGAGTCTAAATGGTTTATTGGAGCGGAGTGGTGTTCGATTTTCAAATGTTCTGCCGGTTCAATAGCACAAAGAGTTGGTGGTTTGAGGAGTTCATTTGGATTCCTGTTCAGATTGACAGAAGAATCGATTTTATCGAGGAGTGGTGGAGGTGTAATACTCCGATCTGAATGAGATCTTTTCTTCTCTCTCTTCTTTCTTTTAGAGCTTTTCTCTTCGGATGATTTCTTCTTCGGTTTCAGTTTGCTCAGTTCGCGTTGCTTCTCTTTGTATTTCCGTTGAAGTTCGGCCAGTTTCAGTCTCATGTCGAGTTCCATTGCATTCATCGCCGGCCAGTCGTCTTTGATAAACGACGGCTGGGACTTACTTGCGATGTATTTTCGGACTTCCTCTTCTGATTTTCGAGATTTGTACGCCCGGTGGTCTTTACAATTACAGTTTTCCATTTCCGTAAAGCCACTGCTACACTTCGGTTCGTAATAGTCCTCATATGGCACTCGATTTATTGGAACGGGATCGCTGGAGACGATATAGTTACGTTCACTATCACTATTATAGATACGTTCACCGTTTTCGCGTCGTTGAGCACGTTCGCTGTCACTTTCGTGCTTACTTCTTCTGCTACTTTTATTTTTGTACCTGTAGTGTTCGTTTCCGGTTTTGATTCGTTTGCGGCGCGATTCGTCTGAAGAGTGCTTTTTGGATTTGCGTTTCTCTTTCTTCCTCTCGTGTCGTTCCCAATAAGTTATGTCTTTGATGGTTCGATTTTCGTGCATCTTCTTCTTTTGACCCTCGACTTCTTCCAAGATTCTTTGTTCGGCCAATGCGCAAAGAAGATTAAGACCACCAAGATTGTCATCTACTTGATTTTGATTTTGAGATGATATCGCAGTTTCTTTTTCGATTTTGATGGTAGCAATCTCCGCTTCGGACAGACGAGGCACCTTTGCCTCGTCAACTTTTTCGCATTTAATTATTAATGGCTTTTCTTGATTTTTTCTGGAGTTTTCGAGTTCGAAGATACTGTTTGATAAAAGTTCGAGACCGCTTATATCCGGTTTAGGATCTGAAGCGGCTTCCGGCGTTTTCGGAGGTGTGTTCTCCAAATTATCAGGAACCACAGCCTCGTTTGTAGAAGAAGAAATTGGTTCCGGTGTTTCGCTTTCGATAGAAGATCGGACCACGTCTGCTGTGTTATCATGGACGTAACCGTCAGGTAATTCGAGTATTTTTTGCCTAGGAGTTTTCTCTACTGGGGTTGTAGAAGAAGTGACTTCCTGAGGAGAACTTGCCAAAATTATTTTCTCCTTTAGTTCTTCGGGTTGCTTGTTTTTCGCCTCGCCAACAACGTCACAAAAAGCGTGAGTTGTATTGTCATCTTCGCTACAAAACGGCGTGTCCGTTTGATTACTTGCATCCTGTACTCCGGGTAATTCTTCCTCTAGAATCGTATTCGTTTCTGGAGGAGGCGTCAGACATGCAACAGGAGACGTGGCCTGAGACCTGCAAGCCATCTCTGTCGTTGCGGATGGAGTCTGCGATAAAATTAAATTCGTGGGGTGCTGATAAATCAGGTGAGTGGTGACCAGAGGTGCCATGTTTTGTTCGGTGAACACAGAGCCCGTGCTGTTAGCCACAGTACTGACGGCCTGCAACGTTTTGGTCTGGTCGAGAGTGCTCGTCGCCGCGTCGGCTTCTATTTTAATCAAAGTGGTCGTTGGAATGGGCAAAGGGATTTTTCTTTTCGCGTCCGTGGTCGTGACGGCCAACAGTCTGGTGCTGTGTGTCTGCGTGTGCTGGTGTAAGGTCGTGCTAGATGAGAGGAAGTCGGAAGACGCCGAGCTGAGGAGTTGAAGAGGAGGAGGAGGCAATGGAGGAAGCAAGACCGAGGGCGGCTGTTGATAGCTGGGCCATACCACAGCTTGTTGCACTTGTTCTGAAAAACGTGAGACTTGTAAACGCAACATGCGGCGTCATAATGAAATCGACGATAAGACGAAAAGAGGAGGGCTGATGGAAAATGGGAAGTGGACGAGGCTATTCAAGAAAATTAATGTTGAAACATAATTTTAAATAAATCGAGAAAACGTGAAACATGAAAACAATATGCATGAAAAGGAACTAATGAGTTATGAATGATTAAATAAATGCGTGAAAGTAAAAAATTGAGAGAGAAAGTAGAACTTAAACTTAATACACATATTGGTAAATGTCTAGATGATGGCCCCCACCCCCTTCGGGGGTTCGAAAGGAGAGGTCTCCCCCACCACTGTACCATAAAAAGTTCGTGGCGGTCTCACCACCATAAAAAGTTATGAGGGTTNCTCTGAATTTCGAATAATCGCTTACAAAATTACGATGTTTACTTAAGGCCTTAAATACAGTATTTTTGCGTACTTTATGTGTCTTGTAAAGTATAACGTACGCACAGTCGAAATAGAGTACAATACTTTATAATAAAGTACGGGTGGCAACCCTAAATACAGTAGAACCTCAATAAGTCGAAAACCTCTAAAACTCGAAAAAATGTTTTGTTCCCTTCCCTTCAACCCCCAAAACCTCCATTATTCGAAATTTCAACCCTCTATTAATCAGTAAGTCCCTGCAAGCCTTTTGGTACTTATTTTCCCTCTATAACTCGAAAAATTAAATTGGACCTCTGTATCTCGAACATAGTATTGTTTTATTTTACAACCTTTACAACTCGATAATTTGAAACTTATTACGTCTATTTAATATTTCACTTCTCTAACTCAAAATTAGTAAGAATAAATCTTACCCTCCAAAAGTCGAATTAAAATCCTCCATACGTCGAAAACTTTAACTGGAATTTTTTTGGCGTTTCCCTTGATGTTCGAGTTATAGAGGTTCTACTGCATATCCCACATCAATTGATATCAAACAATCAGCTGTTCAAAACAATGCTCTTTGATGTCTAATTGATAATTGACTGAATATAAACAAGAACAAACCCAAAGACCAACGACAAACTCTCGTCCACGACGTTGAACAAGTTGGACAACGTGACCGAAAAACTGAATCCATTAACACGACCGGTTATGACAAGAAGCTCAAAATCAGTTAATCATCAGATCATCAAGACATTTCTTTTTGTCGTAATTTGTTGATATTATGATTTATAGTTGGAAACTGGCTAACTGATATCGAGCTTCTTGTTCTTGTACATGGGTGGATTCACTTCTTTGGTCCAATTGTCCAACTTTTTCGTAATTTGTTCTGTCTAAATTCAATCAATTCATCAAGAAAACATTATTTCTCAATAGATTTGGTATCACTTCTGAGATATGATCAGAACCAATGAGTTATTTGACGTTGAAAGCGTCCATTTACTCTATTTATCACATTTTGTAACGAGTTGAGGTTCTTCGAATAATTTTCACCAATATCGATTAGAGCAAAATATTCCACAATTAATGTCCAATGGAATTGAATATTTTTTGGGATTAATTGTCAATAATATAAACAAAAATATTGGAATACAATTAAATTGTGGTATACGAATACTGCAATTATAGATATAGTGACACTGAATTAAATATTTTTTGATGATTGCCAAGTATAAAACAATTAGTATAACTGATCAATGGCGAAAACTAAAATTGTTCGAAAAAACCCCGATTTATTCAAAATTTCCAATATCAAATTCGAACTCGCATATTACTAGTCGAAATGTCCCAATTATCTGAAAATATTCGCCAAAGGGAACATGCTTCGTTACATTTTCAATCGTTTTATTTTTGCAATTTAGTAAAAACATATCGAAGATAATCCATTTCGAAACGAAATCTTTTTGGACGCAAAGAATCTTCCAAAACAACTTATTTCAATTTAAATGTACACGTAATTCTGAGTTCTCGTAGGTTTGTAAAAGTCGATGTATACTAGCTCAAATATTTGAAGTTCGATTTAAAATACGTTTGAACCATAAAAAAGTTTTAAATGCTCGCAAAATGTCGCCGGTTCAGACAGACGTTTCTTCCAGAAACCGTAGCTGACATACTTCCAAACCGAATTGGAAGCATAGAAAAGTACAGAGCTATAATATCTGCTTATAGCGTATTTTATTTTTAACTCGCTAAAAGGGAATCGTTTTTAAACATAGGCAAATATTTTTTCAAGTTCAAATGATAAACGACTTCATCTATCAAAACTATTGCTTTCGATGATTGGACAACTTACCGGATACTGTAAATTAAGAGGACATCCAGCTGTCTCTTCCGGGTGATAGAACCATTTAACTCTTACAACCATCGTTCCGCATGTTTCCCACATTGCTTCAATTTTGCCAATGTACGGTCTATCAGGTCGCCCAGTAGACAGAAACACTGCCGAATCGCCAACCTGCGTCAAACACAAACAATTTACATTCCCAAAATCTGCTTCAGAATTCTTTGATATACCATAATGATTTCTTTTCCTCTTTGTATTGCTTTGAAGAATTGTTTTCGTGATCTTCCTTTTGCTTTTGGTCTTTTGTAACCCTTCCCTGACCAACTCCATAATTGGCGTGCTGGAAGGAATGCTGTCATTTTGCTTCTACTCTCACAGGATTCTTGACGATCTCGAATTTTCTTGGATTTCTTCTGAAAGAAAAGTTTACGTGGAGAACGAATTCGACCTCATGCTCAGTAATGTAACTTACTTTGCGCTTAGATTCGATAATATCGTCCATAGTCACTTCATCATCAGGATTTACTACCTGATATTCAGGATAGTCCTCTTCGAAATTCTCCGCGTCTTCTTGTTCTTCAGAAGCTACATCAGCTTCATTTTCATCTTCCTCGATGATCTCAGGTTCAAGGGGGGCATGTGGTGGTTCTTCAACAGTAGAAATTACTTCTCCAACTTGTACTTCTTCTTCGACTTCATTGTCATTCGTCTCTTTCAAAGATCTTTCTTCGCTGGACTCTTTACTGTGATGATGCTTCTTGTGTTTGCGATGCTTCTTATGGTGTTTCTTGTGTTTACAATGTTCGTCACAGAACTTGTGCTTCTTTTTCTTCTTCTTGTCTTCGTGCACAAGCTTTTGCTTCAATTTGTCTTTCTTTTTCTTTTTCAGTCGTTTACGTTCCTTATGGATTGAATCGACTTCCTGTTTGTTTAAATCTTTATTTTCCTTTTCTTGCTCGCTAAGTTTGATTTTCGGAGCTTTGTTGTTTGGAAGTGGAGGAACTGCTATAGAAATACATTGACTTAATCTTCGTTCTTCGTTACTAATACTATTTACTGAAGTTCTGCGTCTTCTCTTGCTCAAACTGAGCAGGGGATTTGGATCATACTCTATTAAAAAAATGGAATCATAATATTCTTTTTGGAAAACGAAGGAAACTATTTCATACCCATGATTGGATAATCTGGAGGCAAAAGACGAATGTCCTCCAAGGCAATCCTACCACTGTCACCATCGTCAAATTCGACGGCAACAAATTTGGAATCTAGTACAGGATCTGGTGTGCCAGGTTCAGCTACACTTCCTGGGTACAAACAGCGATATTGTTGGCTCCAGTACGCACACAATCTTGTACCAACAGAAAGTTCTTCAGTCGAAGATGGAGATATCTCCACGATCTTCGAAAATTAACCAATTAGTCGTAGAGATTGTCTCAATCATTAATCAGTAGTGATAAGCAAAATTACCCGTCACCATCATAAAGTTACTGAACTAATCGTAGATTTTAATACTACTATTATATTATTTGTAGTATTTTAGAAATACGTTGCCTATTATCAGACTCGATAAAAAAAGACAAGTGTTGGTAGGATTAGAACAGAAATTTCGCCTTTCTGAGGATGCCAAAGCGCTGTGTGATCATTGTCACAAGCATTTTCGGTCGCTAATCCTGACACAATATACTTCAGATATTTACTACTATCGGGTTGTTCGGAAAGTCATTTCGTTTTTTCCCGACAGAGGATTTAATTGTATTCTTTTGCACCCAACTTCACATTTAAGCCGTATAATTTTTATATGCTTTGAGAGCTCATATAGCAAGGCTTGTGTGTGAAAAATTCCAATTAATTCTACGCAGTAGTTTTTGGTTGGT